TTACATAAAAACTGTCCAATTGTTGAAAACTATGATGTAGTGGGTTGAACTGTAGCCCCCAAAATATAGATCCACCTGCAACCTCAGAATGTGAACTTATTTGGAATAAGGGTCTTTGCAGATATAATTAAGGTATGGATCTCAAGATGAGACCATCCTGGAGTGGGGGGGGGGGCTAAATCCAATGACAAATGTCTTTATAAAAGACTTAAAAGGACAAGACGTGGAGACACAGAGGGGAAAGCCTTGAAGATGGAGGCAGAGAGTGAAGTGATGCACCAACAAGGTAAGGAAAGCCAAGGATTGCTGGCAGCGAGAAGTGAGGAGAGAGCCACGGAACAGATTCTCCCTCAGAGGCTCTGCAAGGAACCAACCCTGCCAACACCTTGATTTCAGACTCTTGGCCTCCTGAACTGTGAGAGAAGAAATTTGTATTGTTCTAAGCTACCAAGTTGGTGACAGTTTGTTATGGCAGCCCTGAGAAAGTAATACCTGTGGTGATTCTCAGTAGAATAGACAGTCTATAGATTTAAGATTCTATAGCACTTATGTTTAGGTTGCATGGAATACCAGTGAAGTTGAATAATCATTACCTAAGAAGAGGTCAACTGACATTTAGCTTGTTCTCTTTTTAAATATCTAAAGCAAGAGGATGTTCTAAAGGAGATTTCCAGTTATCTTAAGGCTAATGCTCATTTGATTAAATTTAGTTGACTAAGATGAATGTTGGGAATCTGAGTGAGTCAGTTTTGCTCTCTGGACAGCTTAAGCCTTTGAATAATTGTTATACCTCCCCGTTTGTGTTATGATGAGCAAGCTTTGCCTCTCAATACGGTGAAATTCATGTCCTATGACCTAAAACAAGAGTTAGAGCATTCTGATAATTGTTTTATCACCAAAAACACATGCTCGGTGCCAAGCACTCACTCAAACCTTCCACAATAATCATAGATATTCATATAATACCTTAATATTTTCACTATGAATTCCTGACTGTAGGAGGAGGAAACATGAGGAAAACCTGAAATTAGGGAAAGCACTGGAAAAGCTGAGCTATGGCCTTTCCTGAAAATAACAGAAAACCTTTCTTTCTTTACAGCAGTTAAGACATAAGTAGAGGATGAATTTCAATGCTTTGTATAACTGTTCAATTTACTAGGAAATTTAAATAATCCTTAAGAGAATACAGCTGTAAGAAGGTTAATGACTTAAAAAGGTTCATTCTACTCAGTTATGCAATAAAACCAAGGTTAAATTAAGCAAGTTCTAAAAGTAAAGTTTACACTGAAAGATGGAAAAAAGAAAATTTAGACTGAACTAAGAAACTTATTTGAATTATTGTTTAATAATTCAAGTTAACAATTGCCCCTTGTTCTTTTACTGAAGTATTGCCTTGTTATAGAAAATGCAAAAGTGAATTTAAAACATGCTTCTTCTTGAATTGCTTAATGTTTGTAATAATCACTACTCTTTCCCCTCTGAAAGAGAAGCTTTAGTGAAGACGTACAACGTATTATCCTGTACTGTTGAAAGAATGTCTTGTGGAAGAATTACCTACCCCTGAAAAGATTGAATTGTAGAGCAAGTTTTACTCCATCCACCTTAGCCGTCCCAAATCATGCTTCCAAACTGTCATGGAAACTTGAGATCCCATACTCTATTATAATATTTATCTTATAGAGTCACATTTATTTTCTTATAAAACTCCCTTTTAACAAGAAGAATTATTGTTAAATATTTTCCTACTTTTAAAAGACTCTGCATCATCTTTGTATGCTGGTTGAGTTCATTAAAACAAGATCGCTTAGTTAATAATAAGTATGTGAATTGTCACAAAGTTGATCAGTAAAATTTCCTTCTTATGACAAATGTGATTTATAACTGTAAGTAAACAAGTAAAGTTTTCTACAAAAAATGTATATTCTTAAAATTATATCTCGATATCCTTGAAAATATTGAAACAAATACTTCATATAATAGGAACATTCTTTGCCTCTTTTAAGGAATACAATTAAAATGGAACAGCTTTTTGACATAAAATACAGAATAAATATAAATTAAACTTGTTATATGAACACAGGTATACAAATGCTTTCTAGCCTAAACAAAGGGTAATGCTTATCCAGTACTTTGCTTTACTTCTTCTCAAAGAACTGTCATCAATAACCCTCCCCTTACCGTCTCACCCCCATCATCCTTCTCTGCTTTATTTTTCTCCATAGCACATATCACCATCTGACATCCTATATATTTTATTTGTTCATCTTCTTAATTGTCCATCATTGTAGGAGTACCGTGACAACAAGGATTATTGTTTTATTATACTATTGAGGCCCCAGTTTCTAGAACAGAGCCTGATGTGTGATTGGTATTCAATAAAAATATTTAATGAATGAGTGAATCTGAGGGAGAGTTTTTTCATTCTGCTTGAATGTTGATAAACAGGAAAAAAGGGAGGGGGCTCTAATTATGGTAAGAAAAAAACAGAGCATGCATATTTTAATTTTGAATAAGTCCTTATCCTATTTGACTAGCCCTCCAACTGTGCTCTTCTTTCATTGTCCTGCTATGGTCACCATAAGCTTTAACTAATTTGAAAAGGGCAATAATCAGCCCAGCACTGAGTATTATTCTCTCTCAGGGTTTCTCATTAAATTCCATTGTGATTTATAGTTTCCATAATTTTAATCAAGAAGAATTCAATTTGGGAGTTGATAATTTTGATATTTCAGGCGAATAGTCTAAATATACAAAAAGTTCCTTCTGGGCTCGTCCCGTGGCTTGGCGGTTAAGTGCACACGCTTCGCTACTGGTGGCCCGGGTTTGGATCCTGGGCGTGCACTGACACACCACTTGTCTGGCCAAGCTGAGGCCGCGTCCCACATACAGCAACTAGAAGGATGTACAGCTATGACATACAACTACCTACTGGGGCTTTGGGGACAAAAAGGGTAAAAAAAAAAAAAGAAGAGGAATGGCAATAGATGTTAGCTCAGTGCCTGTCTTCCTCAGCAAAAAGAGGAAGATTGGCATGGATGTTAGCTCAGGGCTGATCTTCCTCACCAAAAACAAAAAAAGTTCCTTCAAATAAACTAAGAAACAACACTAATACTTCAACCAAGGGCAAAAGACATAAACTGACTTTTCACAAAATAAGGGGTAGTGGTAATGATAATGACCCAGTAAATACATAAGATATTTAAAATCACCTATAAAACTAATGGAATTTGAGATTTACTTTTCATGAAAAATGTCTAACATAAAATAAATCTCTAATAAAAAATAATAGCAAGCATGTGGGACATCCTTTGTACAAAGTTGATAAGATTATAAATTGATGAAAACTTATGAAATGACCTGACAAGTGGCATTAGTAACCATAAAATAATTCATTCTCTAGGATACAAATTCCTGGGAAGGTATAAAAGAAAATATAAGGCATGTGAACAAACCCATTTATTTACAAAGTTGTTTATTCATTTTTAATTATCTGTTGCAAATAGCTTCAGTTGGTTTGTAGCCCGCCTCTTTACTCTCCTTATAGTGTCTTGATGAAAATAAGTTCTTAAATTAAAAATAGTCAAAGTTTAGCAATCAATTCCTTTGTTTATATTTACCCAAAACATATTACATATTTACTATTTTCTCTGCTCACTCTTCTATCTTGGCTCTTAGATCATCTCACTGGAAATACTGTTTTTCCAACATTTTTTCTACATCTTTAGAAATTCTTTTATTGAAGATACGTTGGTTGTAAAAGGTTTAAGATCACCATTTCCTCACCCACCTGCCAATTCTTGAAAGTCAATTTTGCTGAATATACAATCCTAAATTGACAGCTATTTTTTTCTTGGCACTTTCTAGCACTTTGAGGATAATAGTCTATTTTCTTCTACCTTCAATTGTTTCTGTTAAGAAGTTAGCAAAATTGGCAATCAATCTAATTGTCATTCCATTGTAGATGATCTTAATTTTTTTCTGGTTGCTTTTAAGATCTCTTTATTTTTGGTTTGGTCATTTTATCAAATACGTTTATAAGTGGATTTAAAAAAAATTATTTATATTTCTTGGGAATTGTTGCACTAACAACAGGATGAACGACTGAATTAAATTCTGCAAAACCTTAACTGTTGTGCCTTTTTTGTGTGTGTGTGTAAAGAAGATTAGCCCTGAGCTAACATCTGTTGTCTATCCTCCTCTTGGAGCTGAGAAAGATTGGCCCTGGGCTAACATCGTGCCCATCTTCCTCTACTTTATATGTAGGACACCTGCCACAGCATGTCTTGATTAGCAATGTGTAGGTCCACACCCAGGATCCAAACCTGCAAATGCAGGCCACTGAAGCAAAGCACATGAACTTAACCACTACGCCAGTGGCCAGCCCCTTGTTGTGCCTCTGAATATTGTCTTTACTAAATCTCTACTCTTTCTTGATAGTATCCTTCATAGTTAACCACATCTTAGCCTGTCCTTCATATATTCATCCAACTCTTTGTCTAAATTCTGGTTATTTCTTTAGACCTATTTTCCAGTTCATTAATATTCTCTTCACTTTTATCTAATCTGCTATTTAACTCTTCCATGAGATTTTGTTTTTCATTATTATATTTTTCATTTCTGGAAGTTCTTTTTTGTTCCAGTTTCAAACTGGTCAAGTTTTATAGTCTGGTTCCTTTCTTATACTATGAATACATTTTATTTTAAAAAATATATTCAACATACTGATTTTATATTGTTTTGAATAATTTTTTACTTTTACAGTCCTCTTAGGTCTGACTTTTAAGTTACTGAGTTCTTCTTCCTATCATTTATGGTGGCATATTTCCTCGTGTATTTGATGACTTCCTTCTTACAGGCTCACTTTTCCCGGGACTTTATCTGTCAAAATTATTTGAAGCCTTTCTTTAAAGTGGATTCCTCCCCATGAGGATTTGTCTTTGCTTCTGCCAGTCTCCTGCAGCATTCTCAACACATGACCACTTTAAAATAAATGTTCTGCCTATTGATTTTTAACCCACTGAGTTTGTATGAATTTCTAATCCAAATCTGTGGAGGTGCAGGCTTGGGATCAGGAATGCACAGAAGAGACTTGCTCCATTCTGAGTCAACTCCTAAAGAAAGAAAGTACCTAGTGTGAAAATACTCCCCTCCAAGATTTCTAATATGTTGTCATTTCCTATTCTATTTGGTTTTGTCTTCTATCTCTCTTGCATGTCTTACCCAATATCCCAAGCTCCTGCCCACCAGTTACTGGCAGATGACCTCAGAGCAATTGCCAGCTACCGTGCTTGCTTACCAGTGAAGCCCTTCTTTCTTATTGTTTCTAGTCTCAGCTTATTACTCTTTCTGGCCATCCAGCCTGGTTAAGTCTTAAAATTGTTTTTAAATTTTTATCCAGCCTTGTCAGATATTCTGTACTGGGAAGGGTTTCTCTGCACACCTGCCATGGTGTTGGAAAAGGAGGGCACCTTTTATTACTTCTTTACTTTTATAATCAGACCAAAATAGAATACTCTAAAAAGTAATAAGAAAGGGATTTGGTCAGACACTATTTCCCTTAGGTAATATTGTCAACTGTTTAAACAAAGTATTTTATAAATATAAGAGCAGCAGCCATAACTGTCATTTTCATAAAATGAGATTTCAACAAGTCTGCCTCTGCAAAATTTGCCTTTTCTTTATGTCAAAACAGAGTTCTCTTTACTTTGAAACTTGAATCAGTTTCTTTTTTTAAACCACGGTAAAGGATATGCTTTTTGGCCCCGCCTGGCAAGACTATCATTTAAGAGTCTCCTTGGCTGCCTTTTGCAATTTTGAGATGTATGTACTTCGTACCTCACTTTTCCCAGAAGGAGAAGCATACGTGAAACACAATTATGGTAAACTCTAAAAAAAGTCTTGGCATCAGAAGGAAAGTGAAAACCAGAAGCAAAATTGATACCCATTCATTAGTTGTTTCTGGCACAGACTCATTAGCTCGTTAGTACAACACATCACCAGTTGATGAGCGTGCTGCATTAGAATAATGGAAATTACCAGGCTTTACTCTCACTGGGCTGCTTAGCGAAAGGAACGTTATTTTTCTCATACCTTACTTTGAAGTTTTAAATTATAAAAGTATAACACAGGAGGCAGAAAATGTTTTATCTGTTACAATATTTAAAAGGAGAGGGAGCACTTTACTAATTAAAGTATACTTTTCACTTCTTTTACCATTATTTAAAAATTTACAAACATATCTTTCCATACAGACAGCTGTCTTACCTATAGGTCAGTAGGTTACATTGCCTTGGAATGTTTCTCTTAAAATTTAAGGCCTCATAGATGTTCACATATTTATATTCACATATAAAAATTCTTCTCATTTTGATTAAATGCTTTCCTCTAAAAGTGATATTCTATTAAGGCTGTGATTTTTTTTTAAACTCTATTTCAACTCAGCTATGCAGGAACCTTCTGAAATAGTAGATTGTCACCCTGTTGAGAAAGATGCTTGGGAGCTTCAACTACAGGGGCTCTGGAGCTGTTTATAAGCCCAGTGGCTAGAGATAGAAAGTGTTAAAGAATTTTCAACTCTCTGTAAAAGGCGTTCATTTAATCAATGATTACTTTTTAACATGCCTTGCCATGAAAGGAAGCATGAACAAGTCAATCTTCATGACATTCGAAGAATTGGGAGAAAGGTACCTGAGTGTATTTTCCTTAATATTTTCTTCTATAAGTAGCTTTATTGAATACACTTCCAGTTCTTTGCCTACCTGTTTCATTAATCTTCCTTGCTTCTTCCCTTCCTCCCTCCTTCCTTTCCTCCCTCCTTCTTTCCTTCCTTCCTTCTTTCTTTTATTCCTTCTCTCTCTGTCTCTATATTTCTCCATCTTTCTCTCTCTCTTTCTATAAATGCATAATTAAATGGAAACAGACTACTTTTATTTAGTTAACAATTCTCTAAGAAATAAAGCTACTGAAACTCATGTGCTCTACTGCTCACTTGGTAGCTTAACTAACGTCAAGCAAAGAAATTAAGAGAAGATATAAACAGTTTAAAATGCAAGTGTTGAAAACCCAAGCTTATTATGTAATGGTGTCAGGAATGTGTACCTGCCCAAGGACTTCTTTAATAAGACAACTTTACTACCTTGAAATCTTTAGTGTTTCTGAGTATTATCTTTAACCATCAGAATGATCTACAGATGCTTATTAAAATGCAGGTTCCTGGGACCTGCCAGATTCCAAAGAATCTGATTTAATAAGTCTGAACTGGGGGTCTTTATTTTGCATAATTAAGAAGTTCTTTGCAGAATGACCAGAGTGACTCATACCCCAGGGTGATGAACCAGGTGGCCTGAGTTTGAATCTTGCTTTTGCCGCTTGCTAGCTGTGTGATTTCAGGAAAGTTACTTAATCTTCCAATACCTCAATTTTCTCATATGTTAAGCAGATATAATAATAGCTTACCTCAATAATATAAGCTTACCTCAAAGATTACTGGAGGAAACAAATGACCTAATGCATATAGTGCTTAGAACTGTGTCTGGCACATATTTAACATCCTATGTTAACTATTATGATTTTATCTGGACAACTAGAATGTTAGAACCCCAGAAAAGAATTCACTCATCATTCTTTTAGTAACTTTTGTTGTTGTTGTTGATGTTGTTTTCAGCTCTTATTTTAAAATCAACTTTATTGAGATAAACTTACATATAATAAAATACACCCATTTTAAGTGTGCAGTTTGATGAGTTTTGATAAATGTGTATACTCTCATACCCATACCACAATCACAATATGGAACTTTTCCATCACACAAGTTCCTTGTGCCTCTTTGCTGGCCATTCCCCACCCTGGCTCCAGGCAACTATTGATCTGCCCTCTGTCATTACAGATTAGTTTTGCCTTTTCTAGAATTTCATGTAAATGGAATCATGTAGTATGTACAGTTTTGTGTCTGGTTTGTTTTTCTCAGTATAATGTTTTTGAGGTTGACCTGTGTTGCTGTGTGTATTAGTAGCTCCTTCTTTCCTATTGCTGAGTAGTATTCCATTATATGAATGTACAATAATTTGCTCATCCACTCATCTGTTGCTGGACATTTGAGTTGTTTCCAGTTTGGGGTTATTATAAATAGCTCAAACAACTTCTTTGTTGGCAGCTGGCAATAGTTTTTCTATTTAAAAATCAATAAAGTAAAAAACTCAGAAAATAGAATGTCTTTATATGGCTAATTATTTTGGAAAGCCTAGAAATCTTGTAAAAGCAGAATGGGAGGTAGGGACTAAGCTAGAGAAGAAAATGCAATACTGAAAACTAAGTGTGTTTTTGAGCTAAGTCAGAATAAGAACTTAGCCCATAGCTATGGACTCTTTTTTACAGACATATCTTTGTATGGCTGAACTGTTCTTTTTAAACTTGTCAAGTTTTATTCATGTAAAAAATCTTTTACTGGATAGAGTAGACATAGTTACCTTTGAACAAGTTTCTCAGATTTTTGTTTTGCAGTATCTATTACCTCATTCATCGTTGGGAATTTTTATGTTACTGTCTCCACCCTATGTTTTCTTTTCAATTTCCTGAAGTCAATGAAATTGTAAGTTATTCCCATGAGGAAGCAGTTTTAAAGCAGCATTAAATATACTGAGGTCTACAGGGCACCATTTTGGTCTCCTCTTGAAGCACAAACAATTTATGGAATACTAGTGCTATGTAATGATAGCAGAGCTAAGAGAGTCAATATAACTATTACTTCAGAACATAAACTAAGAATATGTAGATCTGTTGTATCTACATATTCTTACATTTAGCAGAATTTTCAATATGAGAATCAATAAAATCTCTCAGTATCACCAAAATACAAGGACATTAGGTTTACCCACAAAAGAATGGCATGGCATCTTTCGCAATCTAGATAAGCTGAGGATTTCCTAAATCGCCAAGTCCTGGTTCTTTTTCTGCTTAATAGTTTTTCTTTCAATCTCTCTTTCCTCTCACAATTTACAATAAGCAGCAAGGAGAAGCCAGGCCATGCCTTTAACACTTTGCTTAGAAATTTTCTTTATAATTTCTGCATACTGGCAGACTACAATTCAGCTAAGTTCTGCCACTATATAATAAGGATATCCTTTCCTCCGGTTTCTAATAACTGTTCTCAGTTTCATCTGTGCCCTCTTGTGCAGCACTTTTAACATTCATATTTCTACCAGCAGTCCCTTCATGACATGTTAAGTATTGTCTAAGATGGTATAGGTTTTTCTCTAGCAAGCTTCAGATTCTTCACTAGCAAAGTTAACATCCATATTCTTTCTAACAGTGCATTCAAAGCAACCTAAGCTTTCTAAAAATCATGCTCCACAAAATTCCTCCAGCCTTCGCCATTTCCCTGTTCCAAAGTTACTTTCACATTTTTAGGTATTTGTTACAGCAGCACCCCACGTCCCAGTCCCAAAATCTGTATTAGTTTCCCATTGCTGCTGTAACAAATAACCACACATCCAGTTACCTAAAACAGTACAAATGTATTATCTTAGATTTCTGGAAGTCAGAAGTCTGAAAGGAGTCTCACTGGACTAAAATCAAAGTGTTAGCAGGGCTGCTTCTTTTCTGGAGGCTCTAAAGGAGAATTGGATTTCTAGTCTTATCCAACTTTTAGAGGCTGCACACATTCCTTGGTAATAACCCCTTTCCATCTTCAAAGCCAGCAATTACTGGTCAAGTCTTTCTCACATTGCATCTCTCTGACTCTGACCTTGACTATCTTGCCTCCATCTTTCATTTATAAGGACCCTTGTGATTACAATGGGCCAGCATGGATAATCTGGGACACTCATTCCATCTCAAGGTCAGTTGATTAGCAATCCTAATTCTATGTGCAACTTTAATTCTCCCTTGCCGTGGGGAAATTTCATATAACATATTCACAGGTTTCTGGGATTGAGACAAGGACATCTTTGGGCTGGGGGTGGAGGGCATTATTCTGCCTACCTCTCTATTTACCACTAACAAACATCATCTGTTTTGACAAAATATAGTGAACAACATTTCCGTCACCATTAAAATCTCTTAAAATCCAAGCTGTTTCATGAATGTCTATACGAGGACCAGAAATTTAGGGACTCCAACCTCATATGGTCGCTTTTCCTAATTAAAACTTCACATTCCACAAGACACATTTTGGAGTGCTACCACAGTCCCAATAATTATGAGTTACCAGTGTAAAATTTTCTAACTAGATGTGCTTAAAACAAATTGAAAGCAAACAATCTTAAGAAGAAGAAGAGGAAAAAAGAGTAATAAAGAGGAAAAAAGATAATGAAGTTTATCTTATCTTTCTTGTGTTTGACAAGTTATCCTGATTTGATAAATAGTTCAATCAGTGGTTTGTTTGTTAAAAAATAAAGTGAAGTTGTGCCCCCAACATATTTAAAAAAAAAAAGGATACAATAGTGTGCAATGTTCCTCTCATTTCTTCCCTCCTGCTGCATTGCCCCCTCTCCCTTTCTCTCAATTCCCTTTTGTTTATGAACTTGTGGTTTTGGTTTTTGAACTGGACCAAGAAGCCAGTGGAAATGAAATTGTTAGTTCCATTACCTTATTTGAACTGATAAGGCAATAATATCCCAGAAAAAAGAAAGATGCTGGTTCTAAAAATTCCTAGGTTTAAACAGATGCATACAACCCATTTCCAGGTCTAGTATACTTAATGAGTTGATTGTAGATAAATGTTTCCCAAACTTTACTATACATAGGAATCAACGAGGATTTTGTTAAATGAATATTCTGATGCAGTAGGTTTCGAGTGAGGTCTGAGGTTCTGTATTTCAGACAAGATCACAGGTCACGCTGATGCTGCTGATACACAGAGCACACTCTGAGTAGCAGAGTCAGAACACATCTCTGGTTGCCATTGTCATTTGCAAGTGTAAAAAGAATACATATTTGAATGCTTTTTGTCTACGGCCATACCACTCTGAACACACCCGATCTCCTTTGAATGCTTTTGTACTGTTGTCAATTGTGGGTACAGGAAAAACAAAGCATCTTGAGAAGAAAAACTTGAGCTTTCCTGTCAGAGCCTTTCTGCTGGAGCTTTTCTAAGAAGACAACCGAGGATTGCTTTAAACTGAATACTTATCCTTGTTAACATTTTTAAGTTGTCATGACAACTTTATTATTCTCAGTAAAGTGGAGGCAAGTAGATTTTAACCTACACATCATCTATAAGACAGAAGAACGGACCTGGAAGACGATGAAATATTCAGGTATTCATTTATCCATGCAATAGTCACTTTACAGAGTCGCCATTATGAACCATGTTCATCGCTAGGCACTTAGCCTAGAAAGATTACTTCCCTAACAAAAAGGAACTCTTAGTATTTTTCAGCAGGTATCAAACATTCAGATTAGAGAATGTCTCTCACAATCACTGTTTGGTGGTTCCAGCACCCTAGATTGGTTGATTTCCCCATATACCCCAATGCCTGATATTAACAAAGGATGGGAGAAGGCAAATACAAGACACTTTCTAGCTGAGAGTTTATCCCTGGTAAAACCGAATAGCCCCTGGTATAAATTATTGAGGCTAACTGCAGTTCTTATCAAGGAGTTTGGTGTGCTATAGGATTTAAGGATGGTAAAGGCAGAAATGCATGGGTTAAGTAAGTCATGTTCCAGGATGAAAGGAATATTGACAAGAGCAATGCCAGTAGAGGAAAACAATAACAAAACAGTTTTATCCAAGCCTACAATGCATGACAACTAGAGGACAGGCAAATGAGGCCATTTGGACCCAACTTATCTTTTCACATTAGCTTTGTATAATTCTTTTTTTAATTTACTTTGCATTTCTACCAAATGACATCCCTCTCTGTCTCTTGAATATCAGTGTCATGCCATCCCACCTCCATGCCTTTGCTCACAAGTTTTCTTCTGCCTGAAAAAAACAAAACAAAAACAAAAACTTCCTCAATTTCAATCTTTTCCCAAAGATCAGCAACATTTTAAGGCCTAACTCTAACACTGCTTTATTATGAAGTATTTCTCCTATCAGAAGATAGCTCTTCTTCCTCTGTGCTTTCTTATCATTAAATTTGTTTTTTAAAAAATAGTAAGAGATCCTCTTTCAATTATGCATTACTAAGTATTTTTTTCTAATTTTCCTTCTAGGTCTTAAATTCTCAGTACTCTGAGGACAAAAGCCCTACTGACCTAAGAGATTATCATAAGTTGGTAGTAGAGAAAAACAAGGTTTCAGAGATGGCAGAACCAAAAAATGCAAACTTAAAGCTCTGAACTTTTGCCTGATACTAAGGTAAAGTTTAGTTAAATGCCTTTTTCCCCCCTTATTTAAATGTCTTTTTTCTGCTTATTCTAATTGATGTTTGCCATGAGGAGAACATAGTAGGCAAGGCTGGAGGACAAATTTGCAAGTGTCATGAGCCTAAAATGGGACCAGATTTGGTAGGTTTGGGGAGAAATATAGGAATTGGAGATAATCATGGACAATTTATCTGAGTACCTGGGTTTGAAGAAGGATCACGTAATAACCACGATTAATTAAGAATTCACAATGAAATAGCATAATGAAATTTTTTTTTTTGAAGTCAGAAAGGTGAGCCAGAAACATTAATAACAACTTATTTTTCTGTGCTGGAATACACACACGCACACACACCCAACAAATAGAATTCAGTGTACTGAACCAAGCAGAATCAGGGCCTTACTGGGAAGAGGTAAATGTTCTACAACCATAGAATTGCATTTGCAAAGGAGTAGATTTGCTTTCAACCTGAAAAGCAGGATAAGAAAACCATCAGTGCAGACATAACTTCCCAGCAGGAATGGTGGTGTTTTTAACTACAGAAAACTACAATTTTTCCGGACCAATGCATACTAGAGAAGATGTTTTTTTTTAAAGTGGGCCAAATTTTCCTTGAGTTCCCTCCCTCTCTTTTCTTTCTCCTCTTTTGTCCCCTTGCCCTCATCTCTGCCTCCACGCTGTAAGTACTGGGATGGCAATTGGGCAGATGGAGGGGCCAGGACTCAGTTCCCCTGCTCTAGTCTGGGCGTAGTGGGTGGGACCCAGCAACGTGCTGGTTTGCCATAAGCAGGTTTCTATGCAGTTTCCCTACACTTTCGCTGCGTTAGACTCGAGGCAAAAAGCCGAGAGAGGCCGGGGGAGCAGCCCCAGGCGAACGACACCTGTGGGAGACGGAGCCCCGCTAGCAGCCCAGGGCCCCGGGCCCCGGGCCCCGAGTGACTTCACCATGGTGCGTTTTAGCCGCTACTTTCTTTTTCAGTCTCTCGGTGCAGGGAAGAGGAGGGTTCTGGAAAGAAGTCGGATGCAGTAGGGAGAGGAACTGCAAGGGATCCTTTGCGGGTCACCAGAGAGAGAGATACGGAGACAGAGAGAGACCACGACGAGAACTGATTGTTTCGAAGCAGCGCGGGGACTCCGGTTTGCGAGGCACGTCGCGTCCCGCCCAGCCTGTTGAGCAGGTAGACAGCAGTGAGCCCAAGTGTGAGCGTCGCTGCCGCGTGTGCAGCGGGTGCACTCGCGCAGGGACCGACAGGTGCCACTGCAGGGTCCGTTCTCCCACCCACCGCCTCCCGCCGTTGACGCCCACTCTCTTTCTGCGTTCGCAGTGCGGATTTGCGAGGCGCGCCCTGGAGCTGCTGGAGATCCGGAAACGCTGTCCCGAGGTCTGGCAAGCCACCGAGTAAGTGGTCGCTGAGTACCCACGCGGGTCGGGGATCCCCAGAGGGACAGCCCCTCTCCTCGGGCCCCCGGCCCGGGCTCATCCGTCTCCCCCCGTGGGAAGCCTTCCTTGCGCTCCCAGCTGCCCAGCCCCCGGGGCCCGGGGCCCGGTTCCCACGCTGGGGAGGAGCAAGGGAGCAAAAAAGACGGCGCCCGGGGTCCCGGCTCGGGGCCCCGGGGACCTGCGGCGCCCGAGGGAGGAGGACTGACGCAGGGTGGGCGCCGGGCCGCGCAGGGTCGTCGGCTGCGCTCGCAGGGCCCGGGCGTGAGAA